CATCAATTGTTAAGATGATTAAATATTAAATATATTAAGAAAGAAGAAAGATACTTTAAACAAAAGGCAGTGGCACAATAAATAGCCACTATCGCTATTCACCATATTTTTATGATTGCTAATTTGCTATTTTTGCTACGTAGCTATTTCGACTATTACTAGCTGGACACTCTGCTATGATGTGTGCGGCAATTAAGCTGAATTTCTAACCTCGGTAAGTCCCATCACTATTCCCAGGTTATTATTATACTTCTATATTATTTTTCCAAATTAAAGTTATGTATTTTATAAAGTTTAGCTTTACTACAATCACAATAATTCTTTCATTTTCTTTCTTTATTCTTTGGCCAACAATTGTTACTTTTCGTTAGCAACTCGAATAGTTTTAAAAAATTCGGTACAACATTAAAAGGGGAAAAAAAGATAGAAATTTATAATCCAAAAAGAGATATAAAAACTCCGGATCAGCCCGAATCTGAAAACTGGATTTATAGATATTAAATGTTAAAGTAAAATCCGAAATTTATTAGACAAATAAGTATATATACAATATTTTAAACCTTTGTAATGAAAAGAAAAATTTCCGTACCCGGTATGTGTGAACGTCGGAAAGAAAATTTTATTTGCCGATAATTGTATTAATTGAAATAAATTAATGTTATAGGTACGTATGTATTGAATACATTCAGTATTGTAACGTAACCTTTAAAATAATAAAGATAGAAGTAATTCTCCTATGAGAATTGTTACATACGTTTCACATCCTTACACTAAAAATATATCAACGTGAGCCTGTCCTACAAATACGTTCTATTTACGTACATACCATTTTTGTCTAGTCAAAAAATGAAGCAGTTTTAAAAAGATCCTCACTTGCGTATAGCAATAGATAATTTAATTCCAATGAGGCGATTTCGTTTAAGAGCACTAAATGTTACTTTAGTGGTACTTCTTTTTTTAGAAGCCTTTCGATGTTTTATAAATTCAGGCATGTAAGACCTTTATTTTGCAAACTTTATTATTTACTTACCGAGAATTCTTGTGAATTTAGTAATAGCCGATGACAGTCTTTTCTATAAAAGACTTTATGAAGAATTATCACCATTTTCGTGTGTTAGAATGTTGAATTCTACAGGGGTCATTGGCTGTCAATGTAATTATTTAATTTGGTTACGATTTGGTTTTGATACACGCTAATAATGTTCTTACAATCGTGTTCTGTTTACATAGCATTACAACCAGTAACTGGAATATTATATCCAATAAATACTGCTGACGATATTAAAACATTTATTGGACAAGACTTGAATGGCAAATTTGCTGTTGTTATGCCTTATGAGTTGATGAAAATGTAGGTTTTGCAATTGTTCTTTCAAATGGGATCTTTGCCAGGAAGATCAAATCACGAAATATGATTTTCCTAGTAAAGGTCTAAAAATGGGTAGTTTTTTTTTTTTTTTTGAATATTACCAGAAATTTTTGGTGTGATTTGTGATAATGCTATTAGAGCTTCGAATTAAATCATTTCAGCTGGTGTTCAAAAATAATTACCCAAACAGAAAGTGGTTGATCTTTCAATGATATTGATAAAAAAATCTATCCATATAATTAAGTCAAAATCTTCGTGATCTCGAATCATCACGAAAATTAGGTGGAATTATTGCAATAATCAATGGAACATCAAATGTTGCTTCAAGACCAAGCGCATTTTCACCGGATGATACATGTCCAAATTGTCAATATGGATTATATAGGGACGAAAAGGATCAATATCAGTGGAATCCTAATGTAAAAATTTTATTTAATTTTATTTTATTTTATTTTTGCAACCAAATTGAATTTATGATATTTACCTTATATATTTTTAGGGACAAGGATTAATTCAGGAAAGATTTGATTTTCCAATATTTGCTGTTTATCCATTCGATAATCGCTCTTCAAAATCTTATAATCGAATCATGGAGGTTTGTTGCATTCTTTTTTTTTTGGTTCATTATATCCTACACCGTCTTGCGGACAAATCTCACGACCGATTTGTGATTTGTCTATTGAGCTATATTAAATTGTAGTCTTCACAATGATGATAGGACGGTATAAAGAGATCAATAAATAATTACTATGTGACTATATAATATTAATAATTTATTAGGGTGCTGAAAACAACGTGAGGAAGTCATTTAAAGAATATCCATTACAAGCTGTAGAACTTAGTTCGTTTATGTGGTCCGCAGTAGATGCTAGTACTTGCCTTAGACGTGGTAAGTTCGATTTAATAAATTTTAGAATTATCAGTATATTAATTAATTCATTATTAATTAATTCATATTTATTTAATTAGATTTTTGTTCACCCGTGGGTGGGCTGTCTGTATACTCTACTCCGTCTGTTAACATATCAAGTGGCGACAATAAACCAATTATCGTTGTTGCAGCTGCGATGGACAGCCGTACATTTTTCCATGCGTTGACTTTAGGTGTGGATAATGGAGTTTCAGGCACAATTGCTTTATTGGCTGTCGCAGATGCTATAAGTCAAGTGAGCAAATTTCTTTTATCTCTCATATTTTCTACTTTATACTTCGATATTCTTACCTCATAACTTTGACAATTGGCAGTCACAAGTCGCACTTGATAAGCTTCCTAAACATATTTTATATACATTGTTTAATGGTGAAGCGTGGGGTTTTGCTGGATCCTCAAGATTTGTAGCAGATATTACCCAATTTAATTGCCAGGTAAAAGGATCTGCAAAAGGTTGTCCTTTTAAGAATGGTTGTGGTTTTCCATGTAAACAAGATCTTGATTTTACGCGGATCAACTTTGCAAATATTGAGTCGATATTCGAGTTCAATCAGATTGGCATGAACACGACAGGATTTTATGTTCATGTGGATTCCAACAGTACATTGAACGTTGATTTGATAAACAAGATGAATAATATATCAGCGATGATAAATAATGGGAGTGCATTTGTATATGCTGCAAGTTCAAATGGAATTAATTACAAGCTACCACCGTCAAGTTCTATGGCATTTTTAGAAAAGAATCGAAGTTTGGCTGCAGTGGTTTTGGGTGATTTTCAGGATAATCTTAAAAAGTATTTGAATTTTTCTTTTCTTTTTTTTTTGTTTATCTATAATGAATGATCTTTTGCTAATTGTCGATAAATTTAAATTTTGATATTATCAGTTATTATAATAGTGAATACGATGATGCTTTCAACGTTTCCGATGATTCCTTGGTTGGCTCAATTTGCTCAATTGCAAATGTTACAGCTCAAACAGTTTGGCTTCAAGCACAAGGATCCAATTACTCTAATACTTCTATATCAGTTAATTGTACACTAGTTAGAACATTATTAAATTGTTTAGTATTTAATTATTCGTGTCCTTTGGATCAATCTTTGTTTACTAGTTAGTATTGTCTACAAGTAAAATGTCTGAATTTGTGTTGGTTTATTAATAACTAAAAGCTTCGTCTGATGATATGTTAGTACGCCGAAATATTGGAAGAATTCCCCATTATTCAACAGTTTTTCAGCATGGTCAGCCTGGGTTTATACCGACCTTAGCATACAATTTCTTTTTGCGCCTTAATTCTTCATTAGCTTCTTGTAAGGCGTCAACAGATTGTCAGGTAATTTTTTTTTTTTTTTTTTTTTTTTTTTTTTTTTTTTTATTCCTAACGAAAGGCGGCAGGGTAATGTATTTTTTTTGTACAATTGTTAGAATGGCGAATCTTGTTATATGAGTCGATGTACAAATACATTAACAAGATATCATGATGCATATGGAGCAGGACTACAATATGATCAAGATGGA